CTGTAAACCACAGCAGTATATGCACTGAAGGTAATGATTTGGTTTACTGTAAGTGAGTGTGAGGCATATTATGGACGGCTCATAAATGTAGCATTAAAAAAGGTGGAATTCTCACCTGATGTTTACACTTTATTAGCCTGGAAACTGCCAGCCAGTTGTTGTTGACAGATTATAGACTATTTATTTGCATTCATGTAGGACATGTTCCTGCTAACACGTAGATATACTGTATGCACACTAGTGCACGTTTCTAAAAATGTTTTACCATTTGTTTATCTCTTTTGAGCAGGCTACCATGTTTCAACTTAAGACATAATACTATCATTAAAAAAAAAAATTAAAATGGGCATTTTAACATAATACACCAAATCCAACTGAACACATTAAGCCAGACCTGTAGTTTGATTCAACGTGGTAAATGGGTGCTAGATCAGATGGCAGGACTCCTCAGGTGTGGTTGCATTTCATTTTTACAGTGCCACAAAACTTGGGGTGCTGTGGTATGCAAATTGTTACCTTCGCTTGCATAGTTATGTTCTGTGTTTTCATGTTTTTTTCTGTGGTACCTGCATGTTGGTCTGTGTATCATGTTTGATTTGTTTTTGTTCCATAGACTTACACCTTATTCTTGTGACACTCCTTTTGTATATTTATTGTATAAATGTTCAATATGGTTGTAGAACATCTGAAGGAGCCTTTGCAAGAATATGTCTCTGAACTAAGGAAAGTGCGACTAATCCGTGCAAACAAGAGAGAAGGTCTCGTACGAGCACGTCTTCTTGGTGCCTCCCAAGCCAAAGGAGAAGTTCTGACGTTCCTTGATTGCCATTGTGAGTGTCATAATGGCTGGCTGGAACCACTCTTGGAAAGGTACCATCTTTTTCATGCATTATATTGTTTAGCATGTATTATTTTTTTTAAACTTTTTAATAAAGAAATATAAGAACCGAAATCGAACGATTTACGCAGAACATTAATGGGAGTGTTTTAACATTGATTTTTATTTAGTCAAATTACACAATATATTAAAGTGACACTAAACTTAGGAGTTAAATCTTAAAAATGCATTCAAGTACCTTAACTATTAACAATACTGTACCTTATTTGTATTTCACTCGGCTGTAGATCCTCAAATCATCTCTGAATTGGTGTTGACACTGTCCTTACTTCTGGAGGGTGGCTACTTTTGTTCCCCATGGTCCCTCTTTGTTATGTGAAGTAGCCACCGCTCCAAGCTGGCTTCCGTGATGGACTATAATTTAAATAGAAATTAGTAAACTAAACATGAGATTGTAGTCTATCACGGGTGTGAGCTTGCAGCGGTGACTACTTTACAACACACACAGGGACCTTGGGGAACAAAAGTAGCCACCCTCCAGAAGGAAGGACAATGTCGGCATGAATTCAGAGATGATTTGAGGATCTACATAAATAAGATACATATTTGTTAATACTCGGGGTACTTGAATGCATTTTTAAGATTTAACGTCTGAGTTTAGTGTCACTTTAACATGAGCTGTATGTATAAAAGACTAAAGGCCCATTTAGATCTCGGTGTGTGATGAGGTGTGTTCTTCTTTTGTAGAGTTAGGCAGGTGCGTTATCATTCCTCAGTGTGTGTTTCAGTTGTACTTTGACATGCATTGTTGAAATGCATTTCCAGTGCTTTCCAGCTTTTTTTTTTTTACATAAATAGTAGGGATGCACCGATACCAATACTAGTATCGATATCGGTCCAGATACCGAGTATTTGGGCGAGTACTCGATACTTCCTGTATCAGGAAGCCGGGCAGCGGTCATTACACACTGCCCGGCATCCTGATTGGCCGGGAAGCCGGCTCCATGCTCCCTCGTCACTTGTGAAGAGAGAGCATGGAGCCGACTTCCTGGCCAATACACGCTGCACGGCTTCCTGACTGGTTGGGAAGCTGGCCAATCAGGAAGCCGACACAGCACCCGGCTTTCTGATTGGCCAGGAAGACTAGCTTCATGCTCCCTCGTCATCTCATGACGAGGGAGCATGGAGCCGGCTTCCCGGCCAATCAGGAAGCAGGCGCCCAGCTTCCATGATTGGCCAGCAAGCCGGCTCCATGCTTTCTCGTCACATAGTGACAAGAAGCATGGGACGGCTTCCTTGTTAATCGGGTAGCCGGGTGGCGAGTATTTAAATGCTCCCCGGCTAATCAGGAAGCCAGGTGGCGAGTCATTACACACTGCCTGGCTTCCTGAATGGCACTTCCAGTACTCGGTATTTGGTATCGGCGAGTACGGGAAAAAAAATATTGGTACTCGTACCAAAATACCGGTATCGATGCATCCCTAATAAATATTTTGAATAAGTAAAGTTAACGGCCATTAAGCAAGGTTTTTTAATCACCTTTTCCCAATCCTTTAAAACACATTACAAGAGTTTTGATACATTGACATTGAGCCTTCCAACACTAAAATGCAGGGAAAAAAATGGACATGATGTATTTTTAAAAGCACGCTGAGATGGGAACAGATACAATCTTTATTATAGGGAACAATGAAACATGCGTTTCAGCACGTTAGAGCTTGTACATTAAGCACTTCAGGTGTTGTTCATCCTGATCTTGAACTGGCTTTACTAAGCTCATGGCTGCTACTGTTGCAGCCATGGTCTTTGTATCGTTTTTTTTTTTAGAGCAGGTGGAGGACATTAGAGTACAAGTGACCTGGGCAGCTGTAGAGCCACCCGATCACTTGTACTGGCCTTTGAAAGTGCCATCCTGTGGCACGCCCTTACCAGGCTCTCCCACTCCTCTGGGGGGCCCAGGACCACAGTAGATGTTGTCAGGCTGGCAAGTGAGAGCTGTCGGAGGAATGTCCATTCCCCAAACTTAGCTATGATCACTGAAGCAGGAAGCACTTCTTGCTTCAGAGGTGTCAGATGCCTGCTGAAATGCCGGGTAAACAGACGACCATGCATAATCCTGTGCTTGATTGTCTGCATTGGGGGAAGGGGGAGACATCATTGTGTTTTGTGTGCACTAAAATTGATTTTAGTGTATATTTTCCTAAAAATATAAATTTGATAAACATTTGTGCAATGATTGTGCAACATAAAAAATGCAGCTACATTTTTTAAAATTCTACTGAACATTTGCTTTCAGAAAATATATAACTGAGGATTTAAAGTAATTTTCTATCCAAAAATTCAGATTTTAACATGTGTGGAAAATGAAAAAGAATTGCTCCGGTCCTGAGGTGGTTAAAATGCAACAGCGTAAATGGGCCCTAAAAATAAAACTGACATGGCTTACCTAATGTGAAAAATGATAAGAATGAAGAAAAAAGACCTTTTAACTCTTTCACTGTTTTTTATTTTTTGACACATGCTTTTAAACCCCAAAACATTTTTTTTTTTCCTGAAAGCAGAGGGTCCATAGAGAAAAAATGCTGGTAGTTAGAATATATTGTGTCCCATGATATTAGTTCAACTGTTTATCAAATCTATTTTTCCATAAAAAATATGTATGCAAGCACTCCCAACATGGACATTTGCTTTCGTATGTATAGGGTTTGGAAGCTTTTAATTTTTCTTTTATTCTGTATTAAATTTTAATTAAAATTAAGTTAAAAAAAAACCAACAAATGTATATGTATTTATTTTTTTTTAAAGTGGATCTTCACCTCCACCCAATTTCGGTCTTTTCCACCCTATCACAATCCTCTCAGAACTGGACTTTTTTTTTTTCTGAATTATTTTTTTCTGAATGATTCCCCATGACTTCTTCTCTGATGTCATGGGGAACCAGCTGTCTATTCCTGGTTCTCGTAGCTGCGGTGCATGTGCATCGTCGGGTGAATAACCCAGCAAAAAAAGTAATGGAGGGGGGGATATCAGGGATCTATTAGATCCCTGATGTCTCCCCTGCACTCTCTACAAGCAAATTAAATTTATACAGTGGTCGATCTGATTGTTTACCTGACCAGGGTTGGACAGCTTTGAACCCAGAAGAACCCCAGCAGAGCTGATCATTTCTGGGTTTCCTCTACACAGTGGAAAGTTGATGTACCATCGCTCGCCATCCTGAAAAGAGTAAATACATAAAACCGATGGAACAGATTATCACAGGGCCTGGTTTTAGCATATTGAATAGATTGTTTAAAAAAAAAACAAAACTGAATGTGATTTTAAAGTAACAATAGATATAAAATCACAGGGTGTTACCTGATAGCTTTTGGGGATTAGGAAGATATTCATGTTATCCCTTAGAGTAAGTGGACAACATTTTATATGCATTTTTGACTTCCTCAGATCAACTGTGAGTTTGGGTATTGATTTAACAAATCTGTCTGTTTTTATCCTAACTAATTTTGCAACTATATGTCTTTAAGTCTGGCTAACTCTGCTGCACCATTAGACTGTATATTTAGACATCCTATACAACTGCTGTAACAATAAAGTGAAAGTAATAATATCCAAATAGAGGTGGTTCGTATAATGGAGGTTGTTTTGTTGTGTTTTTAATATTGGATAAACATGACTGTAGTTTGCTTTGTATTGTCCCTCAGGATCCGGGAAGAGGAAACTGCAGTGGTATGCCCAGTGATAGATGTCATAGACTGGCGTACGTTTGAGTATTTAGGCAATTCTGGGATACCTCAGATTGGAGGATTTGACTGGAGACTTGTCTTTACCTGGCATGTGGTCCCAGACCGAGAACAAAAGCTTAGGCGCTCACCTATTGATGTCATCAGGTTTGTATTGCACCTTCAGTTATACTACTGATATATGCTGTGATGTTGTGTTAAGTAAAATAATGGTATTTTAAGAGAGCCACACAGACATGCTATCTTTACAGTACAGTGTTAAGAGAGCTAAAAGCCTGTGGGGCTAGCACCGTCAATGTCAGCAGGCATTCAGAATAAAAATGGATAAGGGCATTCACAATGACGCAAGTTGTAGGACATATGAACAATCGCTTTGTTTTACAGCATCTTTGAACCCTATGTGGAGTGATATTCTTGAGTACTTTTCACCAGTCCGAAAACAAACCACAGTTTTGTTGAGAGGAGAAAAAAAAGCAATTCTCCTTAGATAATTTCTATACAAGGATATATCTAGGTCAAATCTTCATATTGCAATTTAGACGGTATCTAACCTCATTGCAGATTCTTGTCTGCTCCAGTTCTGTAACAGACTTACCTGTCCTCGCTCCGGGAGCAGCGTCAGACGCAGCCTACTCCCATGTCGTCATGCTGCTCCTCCTCCCTCTTCATGGCTGTCAGCTTAAAGGCGGGGTTTTTAAAATGCTTAGTGCCTGGGTAATGTTGTTCTTAAGGTTAATGCATGATGCTCCCCTAGCTGGCCATCCAGGCATAAATAAAACTCAAGTATGTAGTTCTCTGGACTCGGAGAACTACATACTTGAGAATAACTTCCCTGGACTACAGATCCTGCTGGCTGCACTGGTCTATTTTTTTTTTACAAAGAAGCTTGAGCTACTGCTACACTTACTGGGGAGTAAACCTCTGACAAAGCTGTTGCTACTGCTCTCTGAGTGAACCACTCTACATTTCCGCTTAACCCCCGCTATTCTACAACTTTGCCATATTCAGTTCTCTCGTTGAGACAGTATCCTTCGCCTCCTATAAATCCTATACTATCTTGCATCATTTAACCTGAGAACATGCCTGGCGGGGGTTACTGAGATTAACTAGTCTCCCATTTGTGACTCGCATACTGCTTAAGTCTGCACACCCTGCATGAGAACTTTACAGGTTAACATTATATGATTGGGGGTCTTAATCTGCTCTGAAGGTCTATGAAGTAATATACCTTCCCACGCTACTTCCTGGACTATACCTGTCTAAGTATTGAATACAACTGCAAAACATTACATATATCAGACTTCCCTTTATGTAAGAACCTTCTTGCATTGTGTTGTATCTCTATTCCATCTGTATAACCTGCTGCTAACTTCGGATCAATCCGGTTATAGAACCATACCACCTAAAATATAATCTTTCGCAGCTGAGATCCAACCCAGGTTTAAAACCCAACAACTTGCTATATGCCTTTTAAGTTCTATAGATATTGGAACATGCCATTCTGGGAAGTTGAAAGTAAGTGCTTAGTGTGAGGGTCTGCTTACAATATTTTTTTTTTAACACAGGTGGCTAGTTAAGTCTATATATTTTTAACAGTTCCAAAATATTAACTCAAGCTGGCACCAGAGACTCACTGGTTGCTGAACAAAGACTGTTTGTTTTTCAGTGAATGTTGCTATTTTCCTGAGAGGTGCTTTACTGTGGTAGCCTGCTTTTTATTACTCTCTAAGGCATTTTGCCCTTGTTCTGAGCTGTTTTTCACATGTTTGTTGCTGCTATAAGCTGGTGTGAAAGCTGTCCTCAAACTTGTAGACATCTCTGTCACGCACACAATTGTGTAGCACACAGGTTGTCCTCACAACATAATTCACATCATTTGATGTTAATGATTCTCCATTTATTGTTGAGGATGCTGAAGGTGCATTCCACCATTGTGTGGGTATGGTACAGTGTGAAGTTGAAAATTATTTTTTTTTTCTCGCTCAGGCTTTTCTGAGAATAGGGGCTCACCAATTCTGAAGTCCTCATCTGCAACAAAGATGAACAGATACACTTGCGTCACTGTGTCACTCTGATGAAGGGTCCCTGTGAGGTCCCGAAACGTTAGCACAATATGACATGATGTGAAATTTTTCACTAAATAAATATATCAAAGTGTGTGCGCCGGTGAAATTCTTGTGATAACTGCCAGTCTCTGAAGACTCATATGTGGGCTGAGCATCAGGAGATAACTTGTTTATTCGATTCATTGGGTGCCATTGGTATACGCTGAGGAACTGAGTGCTGTATCACTAGGTAGTGTCATGGGCTCACTGTCTGCGCTCTGTTCCTGCCATTTAGCGTGAGAAAGCACCTTCTTGCCACTGATCACAAGACACATGCAGTTTTACCTTGGTTAGTTCTTGCTGCCGCATTTGAACCTTTTCTGCTCCCAGCAGTCTGTTTGAAAATCCTTAAAGGATATTTAAACCCTCACGTTTTTTTGCATATATCTACTGCTACCAAGCAGTAGATATATGCAAAAAGTTAAAAAAAAACAAAAAACGCTCAAACAGCACTTTAAACTTACCCTGTGTTCCGTGCGCGGTCCCGTTCGAAAATGAGAAATTTCTCGAGCGGCCGCAAAGGATCTTGGGGCGCGCGCATGCACAGTTCTCACTTTCGGCAGGGACGTGATGTGGGACGCAAGGTAAGTCTATGGACGCGTGCACCCGCATGCAGACACCGCTGGATCAGAGGGACAGAGCAGTCAGTGCAGAATCGGAGAGCGCTGGAGAGAAGGCTGAAAACATCAGGAAAGAAGAGGAAGATCGGAAAAAGAGACATAATTTAAAGTAAGTGCTAACATTAACATGGGAAACATTTTTTGCCTTTAATGTCACTTTAAGGTTTTTATAGGAGGTCTTTATTAAGAAGTGAAACATGCAGAGAACTCTTTTTGGTTGAAATGTTGGTCTGTGGAGCAGGCAAGTAAAAAAAGTGTTTTCTGCTTATAGTGGGTGAACGTCCCTTTAGAACTTCTTGGACGCACTCATCAAGGATATTACTGAAGGTAAGCGTACCCCAACAAAAGATGCCTAGGTCTCCACCTGAGAAGAATCACCCCTACCCTGGGGCAAGACATTTTTTTATTTTGTTACACCAAGGCAAAACCTAAGCCAGAAGTCCATTTTCGCCCTGGGCCCCTATATCCCACAAACCTGCAGACGAGTCCTCTTTGGCATGAAGGGGTGCCCCCACTTTCCAAAGTGATGTAATGTCTCTTGGCATTTGTGGACATTTGGACAGACAGCATCTTAGATACCTGTGTATGGGGTTTTAGAGTTCTACTCCCAACCCCCTGTTCGCTTTATGTCTTCCAATCTTCTGGTGTCACAGCTCAGATTTGCATGCAGCCCGTGTGGCTCCTCTGGAACAGGGGGTTATCACCCCAGTTACTGTTTCAGAAGGGTTTCAGGGATTTTATTTCAACCTTTTCACAGTTCCAAAAAACAAAAGGCGGCATATACCCCATCTTGGCTATCAGGGTCCTAAATGCCTTTATTTGATTCAGAATGTAATCCACCAGGTCCTTCATAGCCTCCTTTTTTCAGGGAGACATTCTGGCCGCTGTAGACCACAATGATGCAGCTCAAGCCAGCATTTTTTATTTTATTTTTTTCCACAAGAAAAATGTCAACTCTCTCCCCTCCCAGTCTCTGACTTTTTTTTTCTGCCCAAGAGTTGACCAATTCTTCCAGACTGCTACAACTCAAATTCTCTGGACAAATTGATTCACCTGACAATGAAGACTATGTTGTCACTGGCTCTGGTGTTGACTGGGGAGGGGTCCTAGACACCCTGATGGTGTAGGGGACATGGACGCTCCCGATCAACATTCTGGAGTTTCAAGCAAATTGGTTGTCTTTACAATGCTGGACATCTCCACTGGACTGATGTTTCCTGATAACAATTGAGTCAGATAATGCCATGGCAATGGCCTACGTAAACCATCAGAGAGGTACCAGAAGTCTTGCCATGGCAAGCAAAGTGGAAAAGATTCTGTCCTGGGAAGAACATCATGTCATTTCGGGTAAAATACAATTTTAGCAAAAGATGTTGTTGTTGCCAATCAATCCAGATAATTTTTGTTTTGTCCTAGTCATCCTTACTCATTGTTTCCGTTTCTATGGAATCAATTCATTTCCAGCGGTATTTTTAGGTTTGTTACCAAACAGTTATTTAAGTTCAAAGCTAAGTTGGACAGATTTTTAATTTTTTTTAAAAATATATGTGTAATAATAATAATAAAATATATATATATATA